TGATATCTTCCCATAATTCATCTGGCTTTTGGTCATTGGTGTTCAATGCATCAAATCTATTCTTTAGATGATCTCTAAATTCAGGAGGGATATAGTCAAGATCATACTTTGGCTCTCTTGGACTTGTTTTCATTGTCTTTAACTTCAAGTTGAATTTGCATATGAGCAGTTGATGGTCTGGTCCACAATTAGATCCTGGCCTGGTTTTGGCTGAAGATATTGAGCTTTTCCACCTCCTCTTGCCACAGATGTAGTCAATCTGATTCCTGTGTGTTCCATCTGGTGAAGTCCAGATGTGAGCATTCAAATGAAAATACATCATATAGATACTATATGTGAGCCTATATATATAGATGTGAGCATATATATATAGATGTGAGCATTCAAATGAAAATGTCAGGAGGAAGGACTCAGGAGCTCTAGAGAGTCACCTACATATGGAAGTAGGTGATTCTACAGCTGAAAATATTGAGGATAGAGAACTTCTCTAGATAAGTTTCATTATTTAATGATCTCTCAACCAGTTTCATGATTTGAGGTCATTGTTTCCTTCCCTAGATTATGTTATTCCAGTTATTCTAACCTTCTTTAAGGTTTCCATTTTTAATCTGTTGAATTACTGTATTTTTTCCTCAAAAATTCTTAAGGAAAAATTTCAAACTTACAGAAAAGTTGAAAGACTACTGTGATGATGTCCATATACTCACCATCTGGATTCATAGTTACATTTTGACTTATTTGCTTTATAAGTATGCACATATTTTGTATGTGTGTGTGTATATATATATATATATATATATATTTTGTTTGTTTGTTTTCCCAAAAACTGTTTATAGGTGTCATTCTTTGTACAGTTTCTCCCACAAGTTAGAATAATCTGCAAATCCTCTTAAAAAGACAGGATACAGTCTTAATTCTTTTCCTTTAATTATGAATTTTCAGAATGAGGAACTGATGTAGCTATCATGTGTAATGGAAGCAAATGATTTTTTTATGTCTGTTTTTCAAATGTCACTCGTAGTCCAAAGACTAAAAACATATGCCATTTTTCTATAAACAATTGGCCCTCTGTAACCATGGGCTTCACATCTGCAGATTCAACCACCCCGGATAGAAAATACTGGATGGGGAAAAGTGATTAAGTGGTCAAGGAATCCCTCAAATACTAAGAGGGAGTGTAAAGTGCATTTATATAGCATTCATATTCTGTTGGGTATTACAAGTAATCTAGAGTTGGTTTATAGTACACAGGAGGATGTGTGTAGGTTATATGCAAATACTGCATCATTTTCTCTAAGGGACTTGAGCATCTGTGGATTTTGGTATGTGGGAGGTTCTAGACCCAATCCCCTGTGATAGTGAGGAGCAACTATACTGCCAAATACACCGGAGATTGTATCATTTTGCACTCCCATCAGCAATGGGAGAAGATTACTCTTTCTCCACAGCCTCACCAAGAAAATGTGTTATCAAACTTTTGAATTTTTGCCTAACGTGATAGATAGTTTGAAATGGTATCTCCACGTAGTTTTAATTGGCATCACTCTTATGAGTCAGATTGAGCATCTTTTTTTAAAAAAAAAAACTTTTATTGTGATTTGGGTGAAAGTTCACAGAGCAAATTCCTTTTCCATATAGCAGTTCATACACATTTTGTTTCATGACATTGGCTGCAACTCCCCACAGTGTAACAGCTCTCTTCTTTCTTCCTCCTCATAGTTGCCTCTTCCCTTTGTCCTTCTTTCCTATGTATTTCTGTCCCCCGCAAGCTATCTCTCTGTGCAAACATTGCCCTTCTGTTCTCCCACTATGATGGTTCTAAGAACAGTATCTATATGATGTAAATGTTAGGTTGAGCATCTTTTTATGGTTTAAGAGGTATTTTGCTTTTCTGTGTTCTGCCTGTTCATGTCTTTTGCCTATTTTTCTAATGTATTTTTGGTCTTTTTCATCTTAGTTTAAGATATATATATACACACACATATACATAGATGTGTGGAGATATATATATATATATATATATATATATATAAGCTCTGGTGGCGTAGTACCTGAGGCATTTGACTGTTAACCAGAAGGTTGGCGGTTCAAGCCCACCACCACTCCTCAGAAGGTTGGGCAATCTACTTCCGTAGTGATACTGCCTCAGAAACCCAAGGAGGGGTCGCTATGAGTCGGGGCCGACTCAACGGCAGTGCGTCATGTGTTGTCTCTCTTTCGCTCTCTCTCCATGGTAGATTAGCCCCTTGTGTCTAGTATGAATTGAGAAATGAAACGAATTGAGATGGATTTTTCCCATTTTGTCATTAGTCTTTTGACTTTGCTTATGGTATTTTTATGATACGCAAAGGTTTGCATTTTGATACTGAATTTATTTATTTAGCTGCTTCTGGATTTTGAACCATAGTGAAGAAGGGTCTCCCCACCCCCAGGTTATAGTGAACTTGTGCTTCTGGTGCTTTGGGTCTCCCACCCCTGTCCTCTCTTCCACCCCTTCTCCCCTCACCCTGTCTACCCATCTTTCTTTTAACATTTGGATCTCTGGGCCATTTGAAATTTATTCTGGCATATGGTGTGACATATGGATCCAATTCCTTTTTACCAATGGCTATCCTGTTTTCCTAGCCATTTGAGATACCACCTTTCTCATGTACCAAATTTCCCACAACCTTGGGTCTATGTTTGGATATTCTATTCTGTTACTATAGAAATTCTGTTCTGATATTCAATCAGAACATAAAACTATATAGTAAGCTAAACAGGGGAGCTTAATATAAATAACTATCAATGGTGATGAAAGAGTAACTACAAGGTATAAGGAAATTCAATATGATGTCTGTTACCACCTGTCTGTCAGTTTGCGTGTTGTTATGATACTGGAAGCTATACCACTTTTTGAAGCTATACCACTTTTTGTTGTTGTTGTTGTTTTGGTCAAACCTGTGTATATTCATAATGTAGTCCCGTTCACCTTCCCAGACATGTTCTGCTACTAGTATTTCCAATGCCAGGAGGGTCATCCATGATGGATAGGTTCCAGTGGAGCTTCCAGACTAAGATAGACCAGGAAGAAAAGCCTGGTGACCTATTTCAAAAATTAGGAAAATACCTAGGGAAGGATAAATATGGAAGGAGTGCAAGCCTTTTTAAAAACGGTCAGGTTGAGCCACCTGCTAGTGGAAATGTTTGAGGTTTAGCCAAGCACAAGTCTGGTCTGGAGTTGCTGAGTAAACAATAGGCAACTCTCTGTAGTATAAGGGACTGGCAGGGGAGCAGGCAATCAGTAACTGGTGGCATGGTGTGTAGTGAGAGTCTAGGGACTTGTGGGGTAGGAGGCCTTCAGAATATGCTGGTCACGCAAAGTGAGGGGGCTTGCAGCAGGACGGACTTTATGTATAACCCTTCAGGCCACAGTAGACAGGTGACTGCAGAAAAGTTAGCACTCAGTCAAGGCTGGACGGTTGCAGAAAGGTTGTGTTCTCAACAGGTGCCTGGGGCAGGCTCCACTGGATATTTTTACACCCACAGTTGCCCATCCCTGGCCCTTGATAGAAATTACACGAAACCTTTTTCTTCTGCTGTGTCCCTGCAGTGCCCCTGCAGTGCCCACTACTCAATGGAAGCTTAACATTGTACTCACTTTAAAGGAGAAACATTTACAGGAATTCCTTTGTTTATTGTAGAGGGTATATTTCAGGGCATTCCAAACTGAGAGACAATAAATTGATAACTGGCACAGTTACATTGGTCTGGCGCGTCATGTGCTAGTACCCCATTGTTTTGTATTATTGATGATTTGTAATAGATATGTTTGTATATCCGTTAAAGCTAGCTCTCCTCATTGAGCTTCCCTTTTAGGGTTTTATTATTTACTTTTCCATTAGAACTGTCAAATAGCTTGCTTGTTTTATTTAGTACTGTGCATTGTGTAGGAGCTCTGGTGGCATAGTGCCTAAGGCATTTGACTGCTAACCAGAAGGCTGGCAGTTCAAACCCACAAGACACTCCTCAGAAGGAGGATTTGGCAATCTACTTCTGTAGTAATACTGCCTTGGAAACCCAAGGAGGGGTTGCTATGAGTCGAATCTGACTTGATGGCAGTGAGTTTGGTTTGTGCATTGTATAATAAACTCATGGGGTAAAAAAGATTCTTATGGTTAAAAAAAATGCAGCAAAGAAGAAAATGAAATAGAAAATCAGAATTCCATGCCTTATATTCCCACCCCTCTGAGTTAGTATTTTCATGCATATCTTTCTGGATATATTTCCAAGATCATATAAATGTGTGTATATTTTTCTAAATAAAAATACTTAAGCTCTTTTAAGAGTTATACCTAAATGAAGACTGTAACTAACTTTGTGATATTTTTGTTTTTCTTTCCAGCCACTATACCTGCCTTGAGTCTTTGAGAACATTATAATGTCTCTTTGTGCTTCATCTCACAAGGAATTGTCTCAGCTATTATCTGTTCAAGACATGGATATCAAAAACTCACCATCTAGCCTTAACTCTCCTGTCTCCTACAACTGCAGTCAATCTGTCCTACCCCTGGAACATGGCCCCATATATATCCCTTCCTCTTACGTAGAGAGCCACCATGAATATTCAGCCATGACATTCTATAGCCCCACTGTGATGAATTATAGTGTCCCCAGCAGTGCCAATAATTCAGAAGGTGAATCTGGTCGACAAACCACAAGCCCAGATGTGTTGTGGCCAACTCCTGGACATCTCTCTCCTTTAGCGATCCATTGCCAGTCATCACTTCTGTATGCAGAACCTCAAAAGAGTGCGTGGTGTGAAGCAAGATCACTAGAACACGCCTTACCTGTAAACAGGTAAACCCAATCTTTGTTCTGAATTATATTTCATAGCCACCATTCAAATTACTTTATGATTTACTGACAAGAAGGTATGCTTTATACAAGATCTTTATTTTGTTAGTCATACACATTAAACTGAAAAAAAAACAACCCAAACTCAGTGCCATTGAGTTGATTCTGACTCATAGAGACACCCATTGAGTTTCTGATGATGTAAATCTTTATGGAAGTAGATCGTCCCATCTTCCTCCTGTGGAGTGGCTGATGGGCTTGAACTGCTGACCTTCTGGTTAGCAGCCAAATGCCTTATCCACTACACCCCAGAGCTCCTTTATATTCTAGTCCTCATTCAAAAAGATAGGCCTGTGGATAGGTGTTTTGGGGAGAAAAATTCATTGAACTTAAATTACTGTTCTCTTCATAAAGGTATTTGGGTTTGAAAAAAAGCTTTTTACTTTATTTTTAGGTTAGATTATTCTTATTTTGTAGTGAAATCACAATTTAGTGCTCATGACAAATTTGTTTCCAGGATACAAGAAACTTATAGCATATTGGATATTGAAATCCATTCTTTCAAATGTTGTCATAAAAGTTTGAGAAGTGGTATTACACAGTAATTTCATTTTTTCTATTTTTATTAAAAAAACGTATTTATTGGTAAAAAAAGAAGAAAATGCAAAAATGATCAATAACTTTTTAAAGACAATGTTTTCATCCAGCTTTTATAAGAAGGTATATTTTGTTTTTGAACATGGATTATAATCAGAGTTCTGCTAATTTTTGGACAAGTCAGACGATAGTATAATTACCTTCATTCATAAATCAATAATACTGCTACCATTTTCTTTCCAAAGGAAACATGCCCTAGCAAAATTAGGAACTAACCAGGTATGTTTTTGATGCCTCCCAGCCCTTCCTTGCCCTCTTCCTTCTGTAAAAGTTCTTTCCTCAGCACTAAATAACCTTCTTACTTCAAGGCCTTCTGTCAGGACAGCTGCTTGCTCATTCTCTCTCTTCCTCTGTCTTCATCTTCTCTCATATCTGTCTCTTTTTTCTCCCTGTTTTTTTTTTTTTTTTTTAAACTCTATTATATACCTTTGGAGCTCTGGTAGCGTAATGCCTAAGGCACTTGACTGTTCACCAGAAGGCTGGCGGTTCAAATCCACCAGCCACTCCTTGGAAGGAAGGTTGGGCAGTCTACTTCCATGGTGATACTGCCTCAGAAACCCAAGGAGGGGTTGCTATGAGTCAGGTCTGACTCTACGGCACATAACAATAACAACATAGTATATACCTTAATTTAACTTAGAATCCATTTGTTACTCTTTTTAAGGTCCCTTTTGTTCTAGATCTTCATCAGAAACTGAAGCATAAGTGATTTTGTCCCCTATTTAAATGAGAACTTCAAATACTAAAGGGCTGGTCAGGTTTGTACTGAAGGAGGGCAGGGGACGCTTTCTTGTGACTCTAGGGGCCACTGTATAACCTGATTGTGGTTCTGAACGGTGGACAATGTTCTATCTGGTCACTTCTTTCTCTAGTGCTTATTTCACCCTCAGAAATTGCTACAATTGACCTTCCAAAGTTATCTGAGTTCATCAGCACTGCACTGATATGCATAAACTCCTCAATCACTTTAAAAGATCAGTCATTCCCAACACTATGGCTCTTTGTGGCTCTGACAACAGTAATAAAGACTTTGCTTTATCAGATTTCCTGGAATATATTTATCATAACTTTTATTTGCAAAGAGATTAAATTAGATAATGTCCGTATTATTATTAGTATTTTGGAAATCTATTCTTTCCCTCTTCATGTTCTTTTACAATGAATGTTTTCTTTGCCCCTAGAGAGACACTGAAAAGGAAGGTTAGTGGGAGCACTTGCACCAGCCCTGTTGCTAGTCCAAGTTCAAAGAGGGATGCCCACTTCTGTGCTGTCTGCAGTGACTACGCCTCTGGATATCACTATGGAGTCTGGTCGTGTGAAGGATGTAAGGCCTTTTTTAAAAGAAGCATTCAAGGTACAAGTGTATCATTAGCTGATTCTTTAGTTTTCTTTTTTTGCTTCCAAACACCCTTCAGAGATGACCTGGCAGAAATTTCACCGTTGGTCTATTGGATATGCAGCAGTACTTGATGAGCAGTTCAGAGGCTCGTGTGTGCTTGAGAGTGGGTCGGGTGGTGGGGTGAATTGATTCAGGTGCAATGCATTTCCCGTCTTTAATTGCAGATTTCTAACCCAGAAACCTAGTTTTCCTGGGTGTCACCCACCACTCTTAGCCACAAGGGTGTTAGGGGAGATGACTTTACAACCCTTGTGAAGATAGTGCTTGGGGAAAAATGTGTACTCATTAGGAGTGGCAAAAGTGGTTTCTTCCTGTGACTAATGTTTAATATCTGGCATGCTTAACAGTCATGATGATGAGCTGACTCCCGTGGAAGAGAAAATAAGTACACACACTCCTCACGTATTGACACGGCTAGGTTCCAAAGATTAGGTTGTTACATGAAAATCGATGTTAGGAGAAAATGGAGGATGATCATGTCTGATCACAAAATGGAGGGTGACTTCATCTTTACATAACTGCCAAACCACTGAGAATCATGGCTCTTCCAAGTTGACACGTAACCTTAGCATCACAGTTTTATTCTCATCATGCTCCTCAGTGTTTGTTATAGCCAGATGTACATTAATGTGCAAAATAGTTGGATAGTAGATTTTTACTGTGGTCGTAAATACAAAATGTCAGATAATGAGATAGTAAGTGAGGAGTAGTTATACATTTTCTGGAAATTGTCAGAATCAGTAATTCAGCTGCAGTGGACTTTGAGAATTGAACTAGAGGCATGACTTGCCTGGACTAGTAGAACTTCTGTTCACAACTCCATTGTTTTCTGGCCTGTGTCTGGACTATTTCCCTGTCCTTCTCCAAATTCCAGCTGGGCTGTTCATTTCTATTTATTTATTTTTTAAATCACCTTCAAATTGTGCATACCTGGTTTCAAGGCCAGTCAGCCAGTCCCCGTACACATGCCATTACTGTGCTCCATGCCCCCGGCCAGTTTGATTTGTGCCAGTCACTTTCTTGCTCTTGTCTGTCTCTGTCCCATAGCCCTTGCCCTTAGCAGCCCCTCTCCTGAACAGTGTTTTCTGTTTCTACCATAGAGCGCCCTTCCCTGTTCTTCTTCAATGCTTTATTCTCAACCAGTGAAGACAACTGATCTTAGCGTGCAGAGAGCACAACTCTACATTAAGGGAATAGTTTATCTCAGGCAGAGAAACACTGATGGAATCAGAGGGTTATGAGGATCAGAGAGTTGGTAGATGAGTCATTTTCCTACATTTCCCCTTAAAAAATTCCACCTATTTGCCCTGGCTCCTCCACCTATTAACTCTGTGACTTTATCACCTGGTCTGTTTCCTCCTTTCTGAAATGGAGGTACTTAAAGTGTTGTTCTAAAGGTGAATAGAAGTTGGTTATGTGAAAATATTTGGTCAACCATATTATCATGCAAATTCAAAATATTATTTTTTTTTTTTTTTGCCCCTAACTCTTCATTGTTCAGATATCAGCACCTTTTCTGTCTCCCTTGTATTTCTGTTCTGATTCTAATCTCATTTTAAACCCACATTCTCCAAGGAGATCTTCATAGTTAGATGGGTGAGGGCTCTCTGCTATCTCCAAACTTAATCTTCATCTTATTGAAAAGAGCACATTACATTAAGGAACTATATGCCATTAAATATTATCAAAAGCAAATTGCGTTGTTTGTTTATTTTTGCTTTTACAAAGCTTTTAATCCCACGTTTAACATATTGAGTCCTTATGTATTTTTTAAGATTATTATTGCAGTAGATTATAAGGCCAATTTCACTTCACTACTGTGTATATAAACCCATTGCCATTGAGTCAATTCTGACCCATAGCGACCCCCATTGGGTTTGCAAGGTGGTAGATCTTTACGGAAGTATAATTGCATCATCTTCTGGTTGGCAATCAAATACCTTAGGCACTGTGTCACCAGAGCTCCTTACTATATATAAATAAATGACAAAAACGATTAGGATATTCTAGAATTCAGAACTGAATTTCTTTTTTTTAAATTGTGATTTGTGTGAAAGTTTACAGAGCAAATTCATTTTCCATAAAGCAGCTCACATGTGCTTTGTCTCATGACATTGACTATAATTTACCACAATGCAACAGCTCCCCTCTACTTCCTCCCCCTCCCCATAGTTACCTCTTCCCTGTGTCCTTCCCACCATGCACTCCTGCCCCAGAACTGAATTTCTTGATTTGATGACAAATTCATATCTTGCTGAGAGCTCAGTATTTTTGTTGTTAGTCAATTCTAACTCATGGTGACCCCATGCATCCAAAGTAGAACTGCTCCATAGAATTGTGAAAGCTGTAACCTTTTGGAAGCAAGTCACCAGGTCTGTCTCCTAAGGTGCCACTGAGCAGTTTGAACTGCCAACCTTTTGGTTAGTAGTTGAGTTGTTGTTGTTGTTGTTATGTGCCATCAAGTCAGACCCGACTCATAGCTCTCCTTGGGTTTCCGAGGCAGTATCATTACGGAAGTAGATTGCCCAACCTTCCTTCCGAGGAGTGGTTGGTGGGTTTGAACCGCCAGCCTTCTGGTTAGCAGTCAGGTACCTTACGCACTATGCTAACAGAGCTCCCAGTAGTTGAGTGGTTACCTGTTTGTACTACCCAGGGACGACTTCTCAGGAAGAAATCTCCCCTTAGGAGATTTTGAGCCAGTAAAACCAACCACATCTTTATAAAACAGATCCTTCTTGTTTGCTGTTGGGGAAACACCTCTCTTCTGAAATATCTTTGAATCCTGAGACTGTAACTGATACCAGAAGTCCCTTTCTGCTTGCCTTCTACTCATGTCATTCCTTCCTACTGCATCAGCTGTTGGGAAAAGGAGAAAGAAATACCATATGCTAAGTGTGCGAGGGGAAAGAGGTAATGCTCTTATAATTGTTTAATCCTAAATGATTCTTTCTTTGCACTTTTCATTTTCTTTTGGCACATCCAGTATACAATTTCCCTGAGAATAAGTATTTTGCTTCAGACAAGAACAAGAATTCACCTTAACTAGACTCTTGCTTATAAATTTTCCTTAAAAACATACGTTTATGTATAACTTAAGATGCTACATACTTACTCTTTTTTTACCTGAGTCATCATAGTAACTCCAGACACATTCTCCTTGTTCCTGCCCAGTTCAGCAGCCAGAGTGATCCTGCTAAAGTGGAAGTCAGAAACTTCACCCTTTACCTTCCAGTGTCTCCTGTCTCATTTGGGGCCAAAGTCAAAGTGCTTACAGTGGCCACAAGGCCTGATACTCTCTGGCCTCCTCTTTTGCATCTGTCCAACTCACCCTCTTCCAGCACACCCCAGCTTCAAGGCCTTTATGCTTCTGTTCTTTCTGCCTTGAACACTCGGCCTCCAGATGTTTGTATCACTCCATCTCACCTGCAGGTCTCTGCTTGGTGTGACCTTCTCAGTAAGTCCTCTCTGTCACTCTTAAACTGTAGTTGTCATCCAGGCCCCACCCCCACATACTTGTTAAACTCCTTCCTCAATTTATTTCCATCCATAGCACTTATCACCTTCTAATGAGTACATTGGCTATGCAAAAGCATTCAGCTGTGTGGGTCATAACGAACTATGGATAACATTGTGAAGAATGGGAATTCCAGAACATTTAGTTGTGCTCATGAGGAAACTGTACATAGACTAAGAGGCGGCCATTTGAACAGAACAAGGGGATACTGCATGGTTTAAATAAGGAAAGGTGTGTGTCAGGAATGTATCCTTTCACCGTACTTACTCAGTCTGTATGCAGAGCAAATAATCTGAGAAGCTGGACTATGTGAAGAAGAGTGTGCCCTCAGGATAGGAGAAAGACTCTAACAGCCTATCATATGCAGATGATGTAGCCTTGCTTGCTGAAAGTGAAAACAACTTGAAGCATTTACTGATGAAGATCAATCATCAGTATCAATATGAATTACACCTCAACATAAAGAATACAAAAATCTTCATAACTGGACCAGTGAGCAACATCATGGTAAATGGGCAGAGGTTGTCAAGGATTTCATTTTACTTGAATCCACAGTCAACACACATGGAAGCAGCAGTCAAGAAATCAAACAACCTATTGCGCTTGGCAATCTGCTGCAAAAGACCTAGTTCAAGTGTTAAAGAAACGATGTCACTTTGAAGACTTAACTGCACCTGATCCAAGCCATGGTATTTTAAATAGCCTCATAGACATGTGAAAGCTGGACAGTGAATAAGGGAGACTGAAGAAGAATTGATGCAATTGTAGTGCTGGTGAAGAAGATTGAAAATGCCATGGATTACCAGAAGAATGAACAAATCTGTCTTGGAAGAATTGCAGCCAGAATGCTCCTTAGAAGTGAGAATGCCAGACTTCATCTCTTATACTTGGTCATGTTATCAGAAGGGACCAGTCCCTGGTGAAGAATGCCATACTTGGTAAAGTAGAGGGTCAGTGAAAAAGGGGAAGGCCCTCAATAAGATGGATTGACACAGTGACTGCAAGGATGGGTTCAAGCACAGCAATGATTGTGAGGAAGGCACAGGACCTTGCAGTGTTTTGTTCTGTTGTACACAGGGTCGCTGTGGGTCAGAGCTGACTCAATGGTAACTAGTAACAAAAATGATATATAATTTACTTATTTATTTTGCTTGTCTGGCTCCCTGCAATAGATTATAAACTCCATTAGGGCAAAGATTTTTGTTTTGTTTAATAACTCTTTGAATGATGATTTTTAAATTGGGCTTATAGAGTTTTGTGTCTTTTTTCACTTAACATTGTTTGGTAAGCATTTCCCATGTTTTAAATTTCTGGAAGCATTTCTCACAGCTGCGTAACATTCTGTTTTATGGTTGGATTTAATTTATTTAACTGTCTGTTGTTGGGTATTTACCTTATTTATGACCTTAAAAAATAGTTTTAACTAAGCCCATGATTAATA